CAATGTTTATGTCATTCCTGGTTTTCTTTTCTGTTGTAATACAAGTGACACTCATCAAGTTAAACGCGAGACAATGCCTGATTCCTAGTATGTATATATCTTTTTTTTTCCACTTGAAAAGCAGCTAATTACGTTCTTAATTCATATATTCATTTCTTTAAAATCGGGGGAGGAGTGTGATCGTGGCCCTAAGCCCGTAATGTCATTAAAACCTCTCATTTCGTTCAACACATTCATCTCAGAGGGAGTTCATGTCCAGTGTGAAAATCGGCCTATTAGAGATTTAACGGGCATATATAGGATGGTCAATTGATCCTTTTAGCTAATGCTTTCACATCTTCGGGTTCTTCACATTCATGTTATGGCATGCGCTTCTTATTTGTCCTTGACTTTCTTCGACGTACGATGGCTTCCTGACATTCTGGTTAGAATGATTACGAAGTTCTGCTTCATTTTATCCACTACAGTATACCCAAAAGTGCAGTCGAGAGATCCCTTTCAAAACAAACTTTAATGAAGTAAAAACTGAATATCTCAAATGCTTCATTTATCAGAGTGAGAGTTTTCAGGGTATCTCACCAGCTGGATTTCCTTTTTCTTCTGTCGACGATGATTACTGTGACTTTGGTCCTCTTCATGGCACTTTATGATTGGGAATCAAAAATACCTGCTGGTGCTCATCAGTCTTCACATAAGCTAACTTTTAATTCAAACTCTCTTTCCTTCTATGTGTAGAGAGATGAAAATCCGCTTTCAAACATCGGATGTCAAATTCGATGTTTGACAAAGTCACTCATTAATCCTACTGAATCTTTCTTGAATGTGTGCAGAGCAGAGATCAGCCAGTGAACTTGAAAAACAGACGACTTTCTAGTTTGTCCTCACTGCAACCTTGTGAAAAAGTATTCAAACGGAGGAGAGGTTATGACTGGAACCGCCATTCACCTTTGCAGCTGCACAAAATACTCTTGGCTTAATTTTTCTTCTCATATGAGCCTTTTTTTTTCCAACTAATCCCATATAAGTACGCAAGAGAGTCAGGGGGGCCTCCCAAAGGCTGCCATGTGTTGCTCAAAAGCACTGAATGGAAATGAGCGGTAAAAAGACTGGCCATTCCTCTCATTAATGCAGCCTTCACTCAACTGTCTTGGGTGACCCTAATGAGGGTGTCATTAAGTGGGCCAGTGTGCGGCGAAGCAGTTTTAATTTGTTTTATTTTTTGCTCTAAATCTTTCCAACACTTTTGTTCACGTCATAGCAGAAAAAAAAGAAATCTCAAGTGAATTGAGTAAGTTGAGAAAATTGGACTTTTCCTGAAATAAACCTTGATACTCAATGATTCTTGACTTTTTTTTTTTTTTCATTATGTGTTTGATTGTTTCATGTTTTGACACGGTGCCCTAAATTCTGGCACTAGTAAACGGAGTAGTGTTGAAAGAACGGCAAATTAAGCTGACGTTTTTGCTTCCAACACAGACCAAGTATGTATCCCGTTTTGTGCCTTTGTGCATAAATGTATGATTTACATCCATGAAAAAAGACGGACTGCCAAGACTGAAGTTGCTTAGTCGAAACAATGAAACAGATGAAAATATGTCATCATTTAACAATTTATAACTTCTGTGCTCAACTTTATTATTTTTGACAAGCAGTCCAAATACACGTCACAACTTATAAGAGGAAAAAAAAATCTTGTTGCCTGACTTGAGTGTTGTTTCCCCTATAGTCATAAAAACCATACCTGATGTTTTTGCAACACCGTTCTCAATCTTTATATGGTATACCCAGCGAATCTTTTTCCAGTGGTTTCTTGTACTTGACGCATGCGCTTGTTTTGCTCCGTGGGCCTTTTTGTGCACAAACGGAAAGGAGCACATGTACAACACTTTGGTGGTCTTTTCAAAAGCAGATTTTCAGACTAATCATTCTGTGTTCCTCCTTGCGTAGGTGCTGGAAACTATAACGGTTATCCCAACAACATTGTTTCCTCGTACCTTAAATTCAAGTTCTTCTGGTTGACAGCACGACCGCCAACAAGTTCTCAAGCTGACCAAAAAAACAAAAAAAAAAAAAAAAACACTCTAGGAACTAAAAGCCATTGTACCAAATGGCTTAGCGCTACGTCCAGTGTTTTCCAGGAAGTCCTTCCCATAATTGTTTCTGCATTCGAGCCCTCAGGAATAAGGTGGCTAAGCTTCAACTATCGCCTCTCAGTGCTCGAGTGGTCATAAATTTGTGTTTTGAAATAATTTTCTGTCCTGGTTTCGTCCACATCTTAATTGTACTTTGCAAAACTTAAATATGACTGTCATAGTAGAACAGAGCAGTCCATTCAAAATAGAACTTGTTCTTTGGTGTGCTCGGTAATTTGTTTCTTTTTTTTTTTTTTTTTCCTTGGCGGTTACCCAATTTTGCCTGTAGCTTTGTGCGCCAGCATTTTGATTTGGTTCAGTGGCCCATTTCCTTCAAAAATATTGAAGCATGCCACATTCAATTGAATCACTCTTCATTCATTTTCACATTCTCTTCTTGACAATAAGATCTTAATGCAGTAAATGATTCTCTTGAGTTTGAACTTGTTTTTTTTTTTTTTTTAATGGACCTCGCCTCTATTTGGAAACTGGTGTCTCCGCCAGCTGATTTACGCAGAGAGATGGGATACATCACACAGGAATGATCACCAGTCTTCACAGGACTGACAAATAGAAACTAGACAACCATTCACCCTCTAACTAACGCACACTTATGTTATTGACAATGAGATGTTTTTTAAGTTTTCTGTTAATGTTTAAACATGGTCGATATGTTCTTTTCGTAATTGTTTACAAGATACTTTTGTTTTGCTCCGCTTTGCTTCTTTATGTCATGTAACGGTGTTTATAAAAAAAAAAAAGTTGTAGGTGTTGTTTCCTTGCTTGTGTGAAGCACATTGAGTAGCCCTGTATATGAAATGTGCTATGTAAATGAAGCTGCTTTGCCCTGCCTTGCCTTGCCTATTAACCATAACTAACCCAAAAGTACATCCATATTCAATTAGGACTGAGCTGGTTGGGTTTGACGGGACGGCTGCCAAGTTACTTAGGAGGCACCGTATTTCGAACAGATTCCAAGTGTTGCTGAAAAAGGTTGGAGGGGATTGAAAAGGGTTATGGTTCATTATGTGATACTGGGAAAAATTAACAGTTATATATTCAAGAGCTGTTGCCAGACATAATCAAGGATCAGTTGAAAGTTCAAAAGTGACTAATACTGTTACGTATAGCTGACTTTCTGGTTTTGCTGAATTTCCAGAAAATCCCTCAACGATACCAAATTGATCATTACACCCACAGTAAAGACGCCTATTCCACTAAATGATGAATTATTATTGTTATGTATTATACTATATTCATGCCCAGAAGGTAAATGTCTTAGACTGTGCGAAGACTTTCCATTTTGTACAAGATAATTCCGATTGAAAATGTTTTTTTCACCATGGCTTACTGCTTGCTAAATCTAAAAACCGTCACACTAAAACGCATAACTTAAAGTAGTAAGGCGAGGCTTCAGCTCATCTACTCATTCATTTGCCTTTTCTTTAGCTACGTCCTACCACGACAGCTGCCCGAGCAGTTGGGGATTCTAGCCAGCTGTTGAAGGCATTTTGGAACAGGTCAAGGATTTTTTGTGATGTGCTGAAGTCGAGATATATGATTAAAAAAAAAAATATTTGATACCCTGCAGACACAATTGATAATCACGCGTGTTTAGGCCTGAGTGGAAGAAACTTGCATACTTGTGAAAATACTGGAGAGCGACACGTGCTTTTTGCATGCTTTTATAGACCAGAGGCGGGGGTGGGGGTGGGAGGGTCACCACTATGACCCGTGTGTTGGAGGGGAAAATATTGTGAGTGGAGAATGGTTCTCAGTTTGAAAAGAAGCGATTATGAAGGAGAGAGGGAAAATGAGGTGAGCAAGAGTGGTTTCCTCAGCTAATAAAATGCTCTGAGGGATGGAAGCTGCCAGCCAGCATTCCTGTGCCATTAGATAAGTTAGCTCGCTGCAGCCCTTAGTTTCTCCGCAGTGCTGAAGTGGCAAACTGAGGTCACCATCACAGCAAAAGTGAGGGGGATGAAGTCAAGTTACAATGTTATTTAGCACCATGGTTTCCCTTCATCATCCGAAGCTGCTTGTCTGGTAATGTACAGTTCAATGAAATAACTGCAGGGCCCACGCTTGTTTGATTTCATGAAACGTCTTTGTCAACATTTCTTGACGTAATTGTCACGTTTTATTGACTTGACAAGCGGTGCCAGATTAAACGTACTTGCTTCCACATCTTGGTGTGGGGAAAAAAAATAGCACCTTGAAGTGAGATCTCGCTGAACTAAGTTTAGATTTGAAATGCAATGTCAGATATCCGACTCGAAATAGGTCGGATTGTGTCACTCAAGCGGAGCGCTACCAAATTCACACGTGTCAAATATCGGCACAGAAGTGATAGATTGTTGTAATTCCAATGAAGTCAACGTGCTTTTCTTGCACACTTGGGCATCTCCAGCTAAATTAAACTGTTCGCCACCACATTTATTAAACCCAAGAGCTTATCTCGGTTCAAGAAGTAATTCAGAACCAAGTCATAGTGTTTCGAGTGAGGTAGGATCGAGGAATGTCAAAAATGATAAATAATGACTCTCCAGGGAACTGTCCTGGACTGCAAGAAGGTTTATTTGAACGGGAAATGTGCTAAGTGCATTTTCCCTGGTAACCTGAGTGTGATCATTCCCAGAGGGACCTCCTGTCAAGTAATTTGGGAGATTCAGTCATAAATCAGTCCCCAAACCATTACAGTATTAAGAAAGGGCTTTGGCTCATGTGACTGTCTTGAAAACCTCTTTTAAAACCCTCGGCTAAAAGATCCATTCATTGATTTGAAAGCGTTTTCCTACTCTTATGAATTGTAATTTACAGATGTGATATTCTTTATTGAAATATGAATCTTTTTTTTTTTTTCCACAGGCATGTTGGTGGTAAATGTTACTTGGAGAAACAAGACTTATGTGGGCACACTTTTGGACTGTACACGGCATGACTGGGCTCCACCTCGGTAAGAAATGTTCTTCTTATAAATCTGCTTATTTTTATTGAATGACTTTTTCCTGGTGTCGACAACTTCCGATTTGTTCTCGTTCGCACTTAAAATAGCATGTCAAGGGATCTAAAGTATTTGCGGTTACGTTTGGATGACTCAACGCATCCTGTCTACCTTACACCCACTCAGGCTTGCGCTACTTTTCTGTGTGCAGCTTGTTCCCATGTTAAATCGCTGGGCTTCTTTGATAGGACATTGGTAGACTTAATTGTCCTGGAAACGTTTCTCTTTCTGCTTCAATTCTCAAAGGGAAGGCTTTATCAGACTCGAAATACTTCTCATCCAATGTGTCGGAAAATGAATATTGCCGTGATCGACAAGATACGGGATCTAGTTTCTTCAATTTGCATAGTGTAAGCCTTTCATCATGATTGATGCATCTTCCCTGTTTCAACTGCTTTCTGTGATGAAATGAGAAAATATTTATTGCCGAGAACTTGTATTGTGTATTCTTCTGCATCTAAGAAAAAAATAGTTGACCTGAGTATGATCCTCCACGTTTTCTTGATTGTTGTTCTGGCTGGGCGAGTACACAAAACATTCTTCTTAACTGAGACCATGTCTGAAACACAAAACCGCATTCCACTAAAGTTGGGATGTTCTGCAGGATGTAAATAAAAGGAGAATACAATGAATTGCAAATCCTTTTCAACCTAGGTTCATTTGAATGCACTACAAAGATACGTAATAGGGCTACCACGGTAGTCACCAACGGTAGTCGTGATTCGTGGACTAATCGGATCAGATGTAAATTGCATCGTATCATACTAGCAAGCAGCTGCTCTTCTATACCCATCATTTGCTTACAGCTTGAATTCTTTTAAGGTATGTACAAATGATTATGAAAGATATGTAAAGTGATAATACATTAAACATTTCTGAAACGTTACAGCTTCTATACCTGCATTCCTGACATGTTTATAAATGATGGCGCAACTTTAATTGAAGGTGATACTGTGGCCTTAAAACTGTAAATATTTACTGCATTTTAAAATGGAACCAGTCGTACACTGGTCTGCATAAAAACATGTGTAAATCAACATCTTCTAGGACTCTTTATGATTTATAATCCAAATATATTATTAACGATTCTCTATACGGTTTTTCATGTAAACAGACAATTTGTTCATACACTTCATACATACGTAATATCTCTCTCTCTCTCTCTCTCTCTCTCTCTCTCTCATATATATATATATATAATCTCCATCCACCAATGCAACGTTGTAGTAGCTAGTAGCCTTGCAAAATGCAGCACAACTACTCTGGAATCTTAATATGCATCATCTCAGAAGTCTAGACACCAGCAAATAGTCATTTCGTTATCATACTACAAATTCATAATACAATATTGTGTCAAATGTTGCCTTCTCGGCATCTATTGCAGCCCGGTCATCCTGAAAGGGGGATTCTCCCATCTGCGGCCCCTTCTCACGGTTTCTCATTTTCCCCCAGATGTTTTTTTTTTTTTGAGTGGTTCCTTGCCCTCCGGGGGGTTAAGATCAGGGGATGTCGGTAATATTTGTCAACTGTGGGCATGTGAAGCCCTTTGAGACTTTGTGTTGATTAAAGACTATATGAATAAATGTGACTTGACTTGAAATTTCCAGCTTGTCTCTCACCATTTCAGTTTGACTTGCAGGGCTAAGCCCCTTAACAATGATCTCTAAATTGTTTCGAAAACACAGACACTCTGCGCTATATTTGACTGCCATTATGCTGACATTCATACATTGCCAAATTGTTCTTGAGCGATTGGCTAATTTACCTTTTACAGTCATCACAAAACATTCTTCTGCTTCCAGGTTTTGCGAATCCCCTACAAGCGACTTGGAAATGAGGAACGGCCGTGGCCGAGGTAAACGGATGAGACCAAACAGCAACACCCCGATCAACGAGAACAGCAACTCATCAGACAACAAAGGCGCCACCAACAACAAGACCCGCGCTGCTTCGAACAGTAAGGGCCGAAGGGGCAGCCAGACACCATCGGAGCGCCGCACTCCTCCCAACAGCAACACAGAGGATATTAAGGCCAGTCCCTCCTCAACTGGAAAGCGTAAGGCCAAGCCTGCATCGGACATGGAGCCGAATTCAAGCTCGGAAGACACCAAAGGCAACAAACGCATGCGGACAAACTCCAATAGCGGAGGGGTTGGGCTATCGGGTCTTCTCATTCCTTCGATCAAGACTGAGCCACTTCCACCTCCCCTTGATCGGAGCTGTCCGTCACCTGCTCTGATTGATTGCCCTCATCCCAATTGCAACAAGAGGTATAAGCACATTAATGGTCTGAAATACCACCAAGCCCGTGCCCACACGGAGGATGACGTGAAGCTGGAATTAGATGTCGACAGCGAATACGGGGAGGAGTCCACCCTCCACCCTGAACCTGAGAACTGTAACGGTGCATCGATTTCACACAAGGGGTCCTTTTCTCCAGCACGGTCAGTCACACCGAAAGGAAGGAACTTTGAGGTCCAAAGTACTTCGCCATCACCTGGCAAGTTTTGCTCAAAGCAGAGCAAAAAGAAAATGGCTGAAACGGAACCAGAAATAAGTACACCGATGGAAGGCTGTGATGATGGGGCATGTCTTTCTGATGAAGCCAGTAATGATGGCGTCGATGAAAAAAGAGGTTCTGACAAGTCCAAAAAAGCTAACGCAAAGGCTGACAGAATGGGCCAAAAAAATATGAAGTCGCCACGAACAATTGCCACTGGCCCCTCGGCTCCACAACAGATGTACTCTTTCCCTGCAGGAAACCCGAATTCTTCACCGGGGCTTACCCCCGTTTTGCAAGGAATCCCCAAAAGCCCCCAAATGAAAGGCACACAGTCCAAAACCCCCGCCGTAGGAGATCCTCCCGCAAGCAGCACCAAAGACAAGAAGAAGAAAGACAAGAAGAAAAAGGATGGTGGAAAGGACGCTGACAGCCCCAAGTCGATGGGAAAGGGGGGGAGGCTGGAGGAAGGAAAACCATCATACGCAGAAGTCCCTGAACAAGGAAATAAGGCCGAGGGGCTCCTCAATGGGTCTTCAGACCCTCATCAGAGTCGGCTGGCAAGCATCAAGGCCGAGGCTGACAAGATCTACAGTTTCACAGATAATGCTCCCAGTCCATCCATTGGAGTAGCCAGTCGAATAGATGGCAGTGGAATGCCACAGCCTCTTACACCTCTTCACATGAACCAGAATGGCGCTGACAACTCATCTGTGAAAACTCACAGCCCAGCCTACTCGGACATCTCCGATGCCGGTGAGGATGGTGAAGGCAAGCTAGAGAATGTCAAAAATAGGACAGAAGACCAGGCACTCAGAGAAAGTGTCAAAAAAGCTCTTTTCCCAAATCCGCCACCCAACAAAGAGTCTCCGTACTATACTGGCTATGAGACGTATTACTCGCCCAATTATGTCAACCCGAGTCCTGGTGGACCAAATCCAGCCACACCGGTGACGGAAGGTCAGGTCAAGATCAAAAGAGAGGATGACCAGGATCAGGGTGAGGAGAAAGTCAAGGTTGAAGTTCATGAGGATCGCAAACCTGATATCGCCCCTGCCCAGCATCAGCAGCAGCAGCAGCAACAGCAGCAACAACAGCAGCCCTCGGTCATTCAACAACGACCCAACGTGTATATGCAACCACTTTACTACAATCAGTATGCCTATGTACCCCCATATGCGTATCATTCAGATCAGGCGTACCATAACCATTTAATGAATACCAACCCAGCCTATCGACAGCAATTTGAGGAGCGTCAGCGACAAATGGCAGAACAGCACCGTGCCGCTGAGAAAAAGGCGGACATGGCCATGAAAGAAAGAGAAGCTTCCATCAAGGAGGACTGGAAACAAAAGAACGCGATGCAGCCAAACCTCTCGAAAACCTCAAGTCAGTCTGAGACTGGAAAGACACCACAGCCTACCAGTAAATCCAGAGATTCACCCTCTGAAGTTTCATCCAAATCGATGGGAAGCATCAAGGCGGAGGACCTCAAGTCCCAGCAAGTTGAAGGGCTAAAGATGAAGCTGACAGAAGGGGGCCACCATGGGAAGGAGGACTCAAAGCAAGCGCTTGATTCAAGAGCTCAGGCTGGTGCAGAGCAGGCTGTGTGGTACAGACAGGTAAATACAATTCAAGAGTATCATCAGTAGAACAAGGGCCTCACTTAGAATAGTGGCATACGAGTATTTCTGACGATGGCAAACAATATCTACCTTTTAATCTCCCTCTCACTTTCAGTGTCACTCGTATTTATGTAATAGATTTTTTTTTTTCTCCCTGCCACGATGCCTGAAAAAGAGCCGTTGATCAATGAATCACTGATAAGAATTTTCATTGCTGCTTTGCATTGACTTTTGCATTGATTGAATGTAGGTGTAAAGAGGGCAAGGACATGCAACATTTACAGGAGCTGGAGGGATTTTATTTGCGCACACTTTTCTTAGTCTTTTGTGTGCACTACATTTTCTTCTTACATCTGTGCACACACTTACGTTGGAATCCTACATGTTTTTTTTTTTTTTTTTCGTAAATGCGAAGTCAGATGTCTTTTTTCTGTCAGGAGTCTGTTTTGGTGTTGACCATATAGTTTTCCGCTCTTGTTATCATTGTGTTGCTTTTTTCTCTGACCACCAGCAGTACCCTGAGAGCCAAAAGGCTCAAGCGGAAGGTGAACACCAACAACAACAATCTCGGTGGAAAGATGAACGGGACAGAGAACGGGAACGCGATAGGAAATCAAAGGATGACAGGTGCAGGCCAAAGGACTCTCAGAGCGGGCCTAAGGAAGACGGCAAAGAAATGACTGACCCCAGAATTAATTCTGAGGAACTTCGGACCTTGAGCAAAGACTCTCGTACGAATGCCCACTTGCAGTTCTCATCACCACTAGCGCAGCATCAAGGATACATGCCATACATGCATGGTTACCCCTATGGACAAGGGTATGACCCCAACCACCCTGGTTACAGAGGCATGCCTTCGGTCATGATGCAGAACTACCCAGGTAGGACACTAAACTATGCTTTTGAGGACATATAAAACATTACCCAACCAGTTGGGAGCTGGCAAATAACCCATTGTAATCATACTTTATTTTCATCAATCTATTCAGTAGAATAATACAAAACGAGCCAACCATTGCAATTATGTTTGAAATTATCAATATCCCAAATGTATTTTCTCATCAGCCTGGGTGTCGTGCTCAGCAGTTTTCATGTTGTTTTACTGGTAATTGCAGCCATTCTTGTGAATTGTAAAGCTGCCGGGGCCGGCTTTAATCACGCTGTAATCACTTCATGTTTGCAAAATTCAGAGTGGGAGTGAGTGGTCTCTGCATGGGAGATTTCTGAGAGAAATAAAACTCACTGGCCTCAAAATTCAGTCAGTAAAAAAGAACATCCATTACTAAATGGGCGTCTAACATGGCATCAAAAGTGATCAGTCTTGCCGTGCCACTCCAGAGAAATGACAGGAAAATTAATTATCTCAACAACTTAAATCAACTGCTGCCTCTTTGACACAATCATTTGGAGATAGCGAGAGACACTGTACATTAGACATGGAATGTTTATTACAATGACCTTGGTGACAAAAAAGCACAGATTCTTAATGTAGTGTATTACAATGTTGAGATCATTTATTATATAGACCTCAAAAATCAAAATCTGGACTCTGTTGTGAAAACAAACACATTTTTATTCTAATACGGTTTCAATCTTGCTGGCCACTCCTGTAAAGGCTATCAAGGCAGTGTATTAATGCATTGGTCGCAAACTTTGCTGCTGGCCTATCACGGAGTTTTAGTGTGAGGGGAGTTTGCAAACATGGACTCTGGACCGGAGAAACTGTTAGCTTAGCTGTGAGCTAGCTAGCTAGCTGGTATAACGGAACACAGATGGATTTAAAACTTAACCAAAAGCGAACAAACACCCTGTGTTCTGCTGTTGGCCAGTGTACTGCGAGGGATCCTGGAGGTTTCACTAAGTTATTTGAAGTTATTTTAAAGGAAAGCCGTTTGTGTTGGTCGAATACGTACCCTCTGATACGTTTTGAAAAATGGGAATATGCGGCTTGGTGAATCTTTTTGGGCAACATATGGCATACAAATTCACCCCATGAACCAGTCACATCAAATTGAATGCTAGATATTTGAAGATGGGACTATTACGACAGTTTTCAGCAAAAATACAATTAATGAACCACTGGAATGGATTCGATGAACCATTGGAATGGAAGACACACACACACATATTACATTAGCATGTCCACCTGACAGTAACGTAATTGCCCTGTTATTCTGTATAAGTCCGAAATTAACCCATCCATCTTCCTATTCATCTAGGTTCTTACCTTCCTGGAGGTTATCCTTTTTCTCCGTACGGCAGTAAAATAGCTGGAGCTGAAGAGGCCAATGACAAATCCCGCACGAGCCCTACTGTCAACAAAATGGCTACAGACTCCAAAGCTCTAGACATCTTACATCAACACGCCAGCCAATACAAAAGCAAATCTCCGACAGTAGGGGACAAGCCTTCCCTCGACAGAGAGCGGGAGCAGGACAGAGGAGCTGGTGGAGAAAGGGATCGGGAAAGAGATCTAGATCGGCCACGCTCCTCGCCTTCCCAGCGGATCATGCCCTCTCACCACCACCTGGGATACCCCCTGCTGTCAGGGCAGTATGATCTGTCCTACGCCACAGGTCAGTCAGCCCTCACTTGCACTTTCTTCTTCCTTTGAGGTTTATTTTCATGACAACAAAGCCTGTCATGATAATTACGATATTACGATAAAATGGACATGGTCGGGTTTTTTTTTTCCAAACTCGATAAATGGTCACTTACTGTACGTGTGTGTGTTTACAAACGTCAACAACATTCACTTGCGCTGCCTAGTTCCCTTTGATTGCTGCTGTGTGCGAATTGGCACTCACATGCACACACAGAAACTGGGGATGGAATGGCTTTTTTAATGGATTGTTGCAACTGTTTCAGTTTGGCTGACGTGTCCCATCGGTTCATAGGCAGACGCAACTCCTTCACTCATTTATTGAGCTGCAGCAGTGTACATTAGCGTTAATAATAACCAATCAGTGACATTGCAGCTGGCGCAACTATGCATTAGGCTAGCAGCTATCTTAAACAGTGCTCTTTTTGTATTAATTGCATTGCTTGTTGATTCTTATATTAGTTCTGCGAGCATTTGCTCCACCTTCCAGGACCTTAAAGGGACTGCCATCTGGCAAGAATACATGTTTTGAGCGCCAAAATTAACACCAAGACCAGTGTATCGAGTCTCTATCAATGCAAGATCTCTGGTCCATCGTGATTTTGCGATGGAGAGATTACAGCTCGCTTGAGTATCGCTATAAGTTCAAACAAACGCGTCAGTCTTATTTAATCATTTCAGCTTTTATTTAGGCGAGTATTTAGCCAAATGTAGTGTTATGTTGATAATATGGTGGCACGACACATCATATTATTTAACAAGGTCCAGCGTGCCGTGTAAGCCTATAGTTTTTATAATGTTATTTTGATGTGTGAGATCGGTGTTTGTGTGGCGGCGACTCTGCCGTCCCGGCCCTACCGACTTGGGCCTCGAAACCGCGCTGTCATCGGCTTGGGAGCACAGGGTGCAAAGTCAGCGGCTTTCAAGGCTCCGAGGAGTGAGGTTTTAATAACTTCAAGTTAACACAGCGCAAGCCCGCTCCATTTACATTGGTTTAGCTCTGTTGCTTCAAACGTAGCAACTGAGTGTTTCACTCTAGGCATTACTTACAAGATTTACACCCAATGCAACCATTACACTAACATAAAAGTTTGGTTATTCTTGGTTTGAGTGGTTATGCCTGGAGACTGGGGAAGGACGGAGGGATTACGTCTCTGCTCAATGCATGTTGACACAAGCGCAATCAACCATTCAAATAAATGTCAGGGAAACACAAGCAAACTTAACAAACTTATTGAAAATGTCCGTCTCACTTCCTGGATTATATTCGTTTAAAAAATAAATAAATAAATAAAAAAATACATTGTGTTTACACATTCAAAGTGCACTTCAGAGCACTTCATTTAAAAATAAAATTGCAAATGAAAATGATAACTGCATGAAATAAAATTAAATTACAAATTAAATTTGTTTATCCTTTGGCTCCAGAACTTCCACGAGCCAAAGGCTGAGCTGCACTGTATTAGTTTATGGAGCAGACATGTAAGCTAAAGCGTGTGGCCGTTATATTCCCATTAATGAAGTTTACGACCCATTCCTGTCCAAATGTGGTTTTCACACAAATTCACCCCGTGATGCATGTTAAATATTTCAATGTACGGGTGGTCCTCATTTTATACCAGAGTTTGCCTTCAGTGGCAGCTATTTAACCCCATTTTCTACTTAAGTGGGAACGCCCTAACCTTCCCTAATGCAGTAATAAAGTCATAATTAGAGTAAATCCTAGAATGAGTAATATGCACAAATGAAAACAAATATAGTAAGGATGGTGCTAACTGACCATCTCTTCTTGCGCCGCATGGCCACTTTGATGTGGTGTGTCTGGACCATCGTAAACTGAGAACCCCCACTGCCCCCCCCCCTTTAATTTTTTACTAGCTGTTCGCGACCCACCCAAAATGGCTCAGCGACCCACTTTTACGGCCCAACCCACCAGTTAAGTCACCGCTTTAGACTGTTAAATTACACCAGACAGCCAACTGCGTTTCAAACGCCAAAACCTGAATAGGCTAAATGACCGATGACAAAACCCGCTTCAATCACTGCAAGTTTGTCCTCTACAACGATTGTTGCCGGTTAGCAAGTAGCAAGCTCCTCCACCCAATTAAAGGTGAGAACGGCAAGCTGGAAATAAAGAAAGGAATGCGAAAGAGACGGTGGCTTATTAAGAGAAAAATGCACCACCCACATTTCAGCTCCAACAAATGTAGGGGGAAGATCACTCTGACCTTTGCACAGCCAAGAGTATCAAGCTACTAGTAGTTGATGAAATCCTGCTCTGTGAGTTTAGTTTTAGTTTTGACTTATCTTCGTATTCTTTCCCCTGCGTTTGTCTAAAGAAAAATGGAGTCGTTGCAGGTACTCTTTGCTGTGCTCTGCTGCCGGTCTTGTATATAATATTCAGCGCAGCCAGCCCCTCAGCTCATCCATTTTAAGCAGGTCTTCTAAGGACAAGAGGATCACACTGACGATAATGGAGTTGCAGACTGAGCATGAAAATGGAGGCAGGCTGCACTGACATCTAGTGGAGGCGCTTGCGAATTACAGCTGTAAAACCTAGCCGGATGTTGAGAAAAGTAAATCGGGATAATTGCCATGAATGCGACATGTGAATTGAAAATAAATGAGTTTTTGCTGTGTGTCTTCAACAGGCAAACCTGACCGCCACACCTCAAGCCTGCAAAGGTTCATGTGACTGGCTCACATGAGAAAAGGATGTCCCAGGTGTTCTCTTTTAGACATCAGTTCAATGGTGTTTCTGTGTGCTTAGTTGATCTGCCCGAGTGTTGGCAGCTCGTTCACGTCTTTCTTCCTCATAGAAAGAATCTCAAAGCTTGGACTGAACTAATCCAGGTTCAAAGCCATCACTCTCTCCCTTCATGCAGAGGAAACACCTCGTCCCTCTGATTATCTAGTCTTTGCACTGTCAACAAATACAATGCAAAAATGGACTATTGGACTTTTTCAGATTTTGTTTTGGCTCCATTATTTTTATTTTTTATTTTTTTGTCGTGTACGGAATAATCTAGTCGAGGATTTGGGGGGAGTTGGGTGACTCGTGGCAAAGGGGAGTCCAATTAAATTAAAGACTTGCAGAGAAAATCTTATTGAGATGAGTTCAACTTTATGTCACCGACATTTTGTATGCCGTGACGCAACGATATATCCGAAACTTGACAAATGTTTGGTTCTGTTTGATTGGGGACAGGGGAATATGGCAACTGCTGCTTTCTTCAGAGACTTAAGAGAGCCCGAGACTGAAGTTTTCATTCTCACTGTCACAATTATTCCCACCTCTAAAATCCTCAGTTACTTCTTTCAGGGATGATGTCACCATGTTTTTGCGAAGGGACCTCATGCACCTCAACCGAGAATAATCGACGTGGTCAGTGTTTGCGTTTGTCAAACTACTCAACTTCAATAGCGGTGGTCTTCTTTGAATGTCTGAATGCTGGTGTCAACGCTGCTTCGCCTCATAATGAAACGGAGAGTGAAGCCACATGAGCTAGGGTGACACTTGTCGGGATACACCAAGCTTACTCTGCCTTGATAAGTTTCTGTTCTGCTGTAACATCGACCTTCCATGGATAAATGACATGGTTGAGTCCCAGAACGTGCGCGGACCATTTCTGCATCCCTGCGGACGTCTGAATCACGATCGATATTCGGACCCCTTGCAGCTCAATGTGTCCGTCTGTGGCTGATGCGACTTCACTCCTGATTCATCTCGTTGTCATTATTTTTGGATTGTTTCTTCAAGCAGCTGGCTTTAGATCAGTCCAAACTTGATACCTTGGTCAGCTGCTATCTGGGATGTAACATCATCATCTGGGGCACATACTCATTAGTGCAAAAAAGATGAATACGAAACATACATCATACACAGTCAGTGGTGGGTGAATTCAATAAATATATCCACAATGTCCTCTTATTCGTGTGTTCACATACGTGGTGCTGCAGTGTAAATCCAATGTTTGCCATCAAGTCATGCCCAAAACTATAACCGGATACCGTACTCCGCGTACAAATGTGTGTTTGTCTGAACAGTTGGCTGGGTGAGAAGAGCGTGTCTGGGACTCCGTTGTCATCAAATACAATCACATTTTTGCAGTCCTTTGTGTTTGTTAGCATTGTTGCCCAGCCCGGAGTCGGATTTGACAGCAGCTTGCAATCCTCCACGTTCTTGGCCTTCCCCAAGTCCATCCCAGCCATTGAGCAAAATCGCATCTCCTCGACGTATGTGCATTTTAAAGATGACGAATGACTGAATCAGATGAATGTGATGGTGTTTGATTAGTATTTAATCTGTAAAGGTAATCTAGGCAGCTTCGATGTTGTCATTCAAGTCAGTGAGGTTTTAGTACCAGCAGACTGCATACATACAGTATAGTTTTATCCAACAATGGTTGTGACAAGTGCATTTGTTCGCTCACAGAGTAGTACTATTATCTCAGTAGTCGGCAAAGCCCAGTGAAAAATCGAAACTATATTCTCAAAGTGTATGAAAAGCCAGAAAAGTTTGTTTGCTTTCAACATTAATGGAACGTGCTTGGCTCTTGTGTTTTGTTTCAATGGTGCAGAGTATATTTATTGGCCAGCAGTCGGTGCCTAGTTGAACATTCTTATGTGAAAACACGGAGACGCTCGCTCGTTTGTCCTTTCCTGACCCCGATTTTTGTCGTACAAAGACACCCCCTCACCCACCACCACCCCCTCAAAAGTACCCACAGAGGTGCTTGCAAGGATGTTTACAGTGTCTTCTTCTGTGTGAGACATTCAGAACTCTCGCCCTCCCCCACCTCCTCTCCTCTTTTCTCCCTTCAGGAGTTTGTGAAAAGTGTACATTACCATGTTTCTTTTTTTTTTTTTATACAATACTCTGTAACTTGCCTTTGTAAATTTGGGCTGGAAAAAAAAATAAATCTTTTTATGAGACAATCTGTCCTGGTAACTGCTCCCTCTCTTAAGCTTTCCTCACTATCAGAGCATCTGTAATAGCCGACAACGCACCGGTTCCTCCAAAGTTGAACACCCCACAAGTGGTACGATTCTCTGCGCCCATCATAATGATGTTATGTCGGATGTTACATGATTCGCCATCACATTTCCTGAGACGTCAGCTTGCTTTTCATCGATGATCTTTTCAATTTGCAGAACAAGGACAATATTTTGAATTCGACAAGCCATACATATTGCTGTCTGAGTCATGGCGGATGTTACATGATTCGCCATCACATTTCCTGAGACATCAGCTTGCTTTTCATCGATGATCCTTTCAATTTGCAGAACAAAGACAATATTTTGAATTCGACTACAAGCCATACATATTGCTGTCTGAATCATGGTGACCAGGTGTGCCCTGCCTCTTGCCTAAAGTCAGCTGGGACCGTGATCCAGCTCACCCGCAAACCAAATGAGGACAAGAGATGCAAAAAAAATACAGGAGTCCTCATTCGTTCAGTGATTTGCAAGATGTGGCAGAATTTGTTACAAACACCTGCTTTTTAAAGCTAAAGTAGGATTTTCAAACTGTTTCCAGCACAAGACAAATGCAATTTGAAAAAGGGTGAAGAAATGAAACCAAAAATCAGTTTGCCAAGAATGTGCACAATGACATCTTTGACTGACCTCTGTTCATCTGTCAGTGACTCCGTCATTCATGTAACAAAGTTGTTTTGTGTTAAACTACATGCCGGGATTTCATACCCCGAAACGAGTTCACCATTATTTAAGCATCTCCACTTTTTGTTTAGCGGTGACATCATGTTTCCATTTCTCAAATGTTAAATGCGTGCCTTGCCTCTATAAAGGCTAGCAAACACTGGAGTATGTGTTGTCTTTCAGGGTTAGTGAACATTTTGATCAATTAACCATTTGTCAAAGTAGTACCATTTGTCACTGTGTGTTTGGACACAGTACATGATTTGTATGTGCCACCAGTGCTGGCTGTCAGCTGTGTGCATTCGCATAATGCGACATCAGTGACAGAGAGCCATTAGGCTGCCCATGATTTTGTTGAGTGTAAATGCGGAATGTGATTATCTTCTGTGCTCTGGGCTCAGGAGAGGGAGGGCTCGCCCGGGAGGGAAGGAGAGGAGGGCTTAAGAAACCAACGTGCTGAGCCAATGGCTTTTCCCCATAAAGCAGCTGGCCGCCATCAGGACGGGACGGGCCGCTCGCTCCGAGGAAGGACACCTTGCCGGACGCGGAGGCCGTCTCCCAGGAGGTGTTCATGGGATGCACTATCTACGCAGCCAGCCCTAAGGCCTTGCCTGCAGACGAGGTGGCCGGCCAGGACACGTACTGCCGCCACCTTCATGGGAACTGCAGTCAGAGGATCGCCGCCAGGTAAGCCACACAGGCGAAGTGCAATGTATTGGATCACGTGCTACATCCGCTGAAGTGGCAGCAAATCGGTTTTTCCTACCTGAGGGCTCCTCTTCCACCTGGACCAATCATGGAGAACTAACTAGAATTGAGCAACAGCTGATGCTGTGCCTCATGTTTACAGTTAGAGCGGGAATCTCGAACTTTGAAAAATTATATCCCGATATTTTATGATGATGATATCAAGATACTGTAATTGATTATGCAATGTTCTATGTAACAATATTGCAGGGCAGGGTAACAATATTTGTATAAAATACGCAATCACTCAACATAAAAATGTGAGGTGATGAAGGTGAATTTACTTATTCATTATGAACAGCAAAAACCTGTTTCAAGCATGTTCAATAACACCGGTCAACAGCGAATTTTAATCACAGACGGCTTAAAAAAAATCATTTTTGCTTTCATTTATTGTTTTAAAATTTGACCTCTAACAGCTTGCTCAACACTAATTTTACCATGTGTTTTAATTTATGGTTACAGCGGATCCGAAGGAAAATCCACCCATTGTCCTAAATATTATATATATATATATATACACACACACACATACTAATATGTCATTCTATTATTGTTGTTATGAAATCCTAATGGGTTCGAGAAAAAAAACAAGGGCACGTTCAGCGCAACCCCCCCCCAAAATAAACTAATGTGGTAAAGTGTAGTTTTACTTTATTCAAAAAAAAATCTAGTAAAACTTTATTAAGCAGTGTAATTAATGTTGATGTAATACATGAGAATATCGTTGACGTCCAGTGAAAAACGCACATTTCCATTGTTGTCATTGAAAGCATGTTTACGTTTAATGGGGTGTCCGAGTTTTGGAAATCCCATTAACGTAAACATTTTCGACATTAGTGTTTTTCACAAGACGGCCACGATATACAGGTAGATTTTTTTTTTTTTTTTAATGGAACACTCCAAATTGACATAGAAACATTTATAACGTGTACGTGTATCAAAAATGAATCTACCTGTATATCGTTACTGCCCTGGGAAAAATATATACTTGTGTCGATATAAATATATTGTAAACATTCGTGTGTGTGTGTGTGTGTGTGTGTGTGTGTGTGTGTGTAAAAAAATAATCTACCTTTATATCGTTGATCTCCTGTGAAAAACGCGTACGTTTATTTTTGTCATTTTCAAAAATATATACTAAACATACGTGTGCGTGTGTGTTTCACAGGACAGCAACAATATACAGGTCAAATGATCAGTCTGGGAAATCGTTTCGACATCCGATTATCGGGCCATTGCTGATTTTTATCAGGAGTGTGCGTGTGTGTGTGGGGGGGGGGGAGACATTTTTCCCGATTATCGGCATATGTGTACCTTGTGGTAAGCAAAGTATTAAATACAGTACAGTACATGTATTGGATGATGCAGATGTTAAAGAGGAATAACTCTCGAATTGGTGTTTCTGGGTGTTATGACGGAACGTGCGCGTGAAATTGTTAACCAGCGAGTGTTTAGAGTGACATGTGAGATCTTGCAGCAGTGAATTAAGCGAGTTATCCTGGGCGTCCGTGGCGTGGAAATAGAAATCGGCGCTTGTAATCCCCTCGCAGAGCGCACAGGGCCTGGTGAGGCCACATTGGGCTCTTGGTAAGCTCAGCCCACCTTCTCGCCACAGCCCGACGCACTTGAGAGGAGCTTGAAAGTGCATTGAGCGCTCGTCCTGCTAGCGTTAGCTTGGCGGATTTAGTGACAGTCGTGAAGATTGTCGCGGTCATTCGCAGACAAAGACGAGACAATGCCTCCATGGAGGAATGCGGCGCGCGCCTGAATATTATTTTGGAGTCGACAAAGTTACGACACAACCTTAATACGACGTTGCAGACAGTTTGAGAGCTACAGGTAGGCAACATCGAGGATTTGTAAAATTGCCACAGAGAGAAAATCATTTCCGGCTCTATATCAAAATAAAATTATTTCGACACTTGGTTTATGGACTGAAAATTGTTTCGGTTGCATATTTTGCTCCTCTCAGTGTGGTAAACCCAGCTTGTTTTTCCTTCATACGCGCTTTATTGTACACCGCGAGGAAATATGAGCATTTATTACTTGTACGATCTGAGGAAATACTTTATTTTGAATACCAAATGGCCGTGTTGAGATCACAGGCACACTTTGTCTTACAATGGAAAATATACCGCTAATGAAAAGGACAAGTGCCTTCTATTTTCACTTTGCAGAACTTAAATGTCGTATGCTGTTACATTCAGTGACAATCTCTCGATATTTGTCAAACAATCATAACAACAAAAAGCCATGTCAGTGAACCTCGTTTATTTTATACTAAAGATTCAGCTCTGTAGTAATGCCCTTGTAAATACAGCAACAGACTTATTTTTGTTTTTTTGCTTTTAACTACACTCGACAACCTATAACGTTCCATTTGAACTCAATTACGTCGTTTTTTTTTTTAAATCGGGGAACGTTTTTTGGTTTAAAGTACAAAACAGTCCTTGTTGTGGGAGACATTTGAAGCTTTGTGTGGGACTTACAAATACACTTGTCTTCAAAGTTTGTTTTGAGGTGCTTGCACAATGGGGAGGTTATTTCAGGAGGTCTCAAGCCGTGCACATATCACTGAGTCCAAAGGCTGAACACTCATCCGTGAAATGAAGAATAGAGTGCTTTTGTAAACAGTCGTAACTGCACAAGTGATCACTGCTATTAGTAATTTAAAAAAAAAGGTTAAAATCTGACTCTGTGCAATCATATTTCTTACTGAAAAAGCAGGCAGAGAAATTAACTTTTTGAAATAACTGCAAACTTTTTTGCCTTGCACTTCTGGGATGAATACAAATCTCTAGAGGTCCACACGCCCAACACAAACAACTCATATTGCTTTCACTGATTTTGCTCTGTTCAAAAATAAAATCCCACACATTTTAAATGCAGACTGTTAATGTTTACTGAATGTTCCTAGTGTTTATTTGGCCAGACGGGCAACTATTTCTGTCCAGGGTGAACATACACAAACATGTTGATGGAGGGACCATTTAATAGTGTTTCTATGCCTCTGTGAAAGAACTCAGAGAGATGTTCTTGTCAAGTAGTGCATTGGCCAGCAGCATTAACGAGATTACAGTTAACTGGATTGAAGGATGCCTAGTGACAGCACAAAGCAGTTTGTCTACACTGACAATGAGGAGAGGTGGAAACCTTTCACTGAACGTTAGCGTCAAACATGTTTAACTGCGCAGAATGGCATTTGGAACCCAACAGGCCATGGCTGTCATGACATAAATGCCCAGATTAAAAAAAAAAACAAAAAAAAACGATCTTGAATGGGCTGGTGTTGCATGAAAAATTATGATGTGACATTTTTCTCTTACTTCATGTGTACCAACCAAGAATAAAGTGACCTTTTATAGTCATGGATTTAGTGACTTCTCCATTTATCCATTCTCTGAAGTGTTTGTTCCACTTGAGCTGAGGCCTAACCCAGCTGACTTGGAGTGAGGTGTGACAAACATCCACCCTCACATTCAGACCAATGGCCAATATTGAGTTTTCGATTAACCTAGGAAGTCGAGAACCTGGAGAAAATCCTGCAAGCACAGGGAGAACATGCAAACTCCACACATGAAGGCCGAAGCCGGAATCAAACCCTGCACTGTGAGGCCACCGTGCTAACCAGTCGACCACCGGGCCGCCCTCAGCGGAACACTCTTTGCCTTAAATAACACACAGAAACCCTAGATCACCCCCTAAGGCCGGTTGTTATCGAAGACTGAATTACAATATTACATATTATTACAAGGCAGACATGCAAACCACTAGTGTACTATGCTACCAAGTTCGCGGCTTATCAGTATTACAGAGTTGTTGGCATAAATAGGAGTATTATAATGAAGAATGTGATCATTAATTCTGAATTATTCTTTGAAACTGCAACTGAGTAACTTGGTGTTTTCTTAAAAGATTTGACAGGATTATGATTTTTATCACGAGGAAAGAAAACTGAGCATTTTCTTTGGCTGTTTAGAAATTCCCCAGAGGAAAGTATAGATGTGCATGATTATTGATCATTGATGAAATGATGACTTCTCTGAGTGTGTGGGGAAAACAGCACAATGTTGGCCCTGCAGTATGTTTAATCTCGACACTACTAACCTGACTGACTGGTTCTGACGTTGGTTTGTCCACAAATGCATCAGGAAAAAGATGGACAAATATTTGGAAACGGATTAGTAATTACACAAATGTTTGAACTGTCATGTTAGGCTAATCAAATCAACACTTACATAAATTGCATAAAAGCAACAAAGAAAGCAAAATACTGTATGCCCAGAGTGCACATTTCACGATGCTGACTTAACTGAGGTGTTGTAAATTTGCTGATGTTATGCATGACATCGTGCCTGATGTACAACTCATAGACAGCTGTGGCAGTGAATGACAGTTTCATTCATTAAGAAAATCACTTCGTAATGCTTTCTCTTTTTAAGATCTTCAGGTGCCACCATTTTTTACAAACTTCCCAATACTTTGAAACTGTGCATACCTTTTCGTCTAGGAGTCTTCATTTTTAAGCCACTGATTTGTTGCATCTTGTTCCTCCAAGCTACATCCTGTTAAGGAAGTTGAGAACAAATGCTTTTGAACATTGTTTTCAAATGAACAGTCAGATCAACTCAGACATCCCTTAACTACTAGCTTGAAATGTCCACAAACGCTTCTCTTATCTAATTACAACAGGCCCTTCACTACTACTTGCCCCCCTCTGTGAACCCCTTTGTGATCACAGATAACCAGTCAGATGGAACCTTTCAAAGCAGGAAGCAAAGTTGTTTGAACAAGCCAGTGGCTGACGTGAAGCTTCTGGCCAATTAGAGATAATCCGTTGGAAAGTGCGTACGTGAGCCTCTTTCCATCAGCACCTGTAATTATTCAGGGCAGGTGCTAACAGCCTCCACACTCCCATGGGACATTATGGTAAAGCACGGCTGTGTTTATGTCTGTGTGTGTGTGTGTGTGTGTGTGTGTGTGTGTGTGTGTGTGTGTGTGTGTGTGTGCGCGCGCGCTCGCCCGTGTGTGTGCATGTGTGTGTGGGTGTGTGTATTGGTGCTGAGTATCTGCGATATAGCCAGAGCACGCTCTGTAAAGATAGTTTTAAGTGTAATTACACTCTCATATACAGTATAT